GTTTCTTTATTTGTAGTATCTGAGGAGCAGCCCGGGTCCGAATCTGGATCTTCGTTAGCTTCATCGTCCCGGAAGTTGAAATTGTAGGCTTTTGGATGCTGTACCGACATCCGCCAGAGTTTTATGACTTTATCTGAAGAAATGCAAGTTTATTGGTATAAAAACCGCACGTGGATGAATAGATTTCGACGATAAGCCTCAATGTTCCTTAAAAAATATCTAAGAAGACTAACTACAGTCAAAATTTTTACACATTAGCATCAAACGAACGTAACAGACAAAATCCAACATAGACACAACATTTCGCGTGAATCGGTAAGTAGGATTAAAGTGTGACGAACAGTTAGCAACACCGTATATATATCGCGTGCAATTTCTCGATTGATACGGAGTTTGAGAAACGGACGTCACTATTCCTCGGAACCATACAAACTTGTGAAAGTCAAGATAAGATTTCGGTCTAGTATAGACGAGCAAGATACGGCGAAAATCGGCGCGATTTACAGAGGCAATTGATAATTCCAAGGTTTCATTTAACTACAAAATGTAGCACCTCCGCGAGAATAGCAAGTTGCCACGGAGCTGAAAATGGGGACATGCGCATGAAGACAGCGCGATCGTTTAGGAGACAAAACATACCATTTGTCGAGAGCAAATGCAAGGAATTGTTTATCGATGGAAGCCAGCATATTGCGTTGATTTTCTCCTCGATTTCCAGAGACTTTAGGTAGTCGAATTCGGGCTCATGGCTCGTAAACGCGCAGTAGATGCTGTATGTACCGTTTTTCTATATTTCGAATTAGACCACCGCAGAACCTGCCTGATTGGAGTTGTTGAAGACGTAGACGCGGCCCGATTTATCTCCTGCAGCCAAGTAATCACCCGCATTGTTAAACTCCAAACAAGTAAAAACGTCAGCTGAAAGAGTAATCCCAAACGTCGTCAATTTACCATCTTTGATGTCTCCGCAGTTATCTCCCTTTATCTGATTGATGTGCCATTTAAGAGTTTCTGTGGAACGAAATAGTTTGATAACAATAAAAGACGAAATACCCAAAGAGCCACAAGCCATCGCAAAGTGGATCTGAGGAAAGAGTGAGAACTTGCAAACCGAGTCTCCAGCGCGGCTGCGCCTCACTTGCGACAGGTCAGATTAGCTCTCAAGATGGGCCGTGGTTCAGAATAGTCAGTTTCCGGACTTGTTTAGTTGTATTTTATCTGGGAAATAGGCATACGCTTTTGAGTACCCTATTTTAGTAGATAAATTAAACGAGGAAACTGAATTTTTCTTCTGTATTGAGCTAAAACGCGGGACTGTTTGGTGCTCATAAAAAATGTTTATAGAAAATGGTATAAATGGCTTTATGTTTCATGTTTCATCAATAGAGAGTAGGGAACGGATCCGTGTAAACCCCTTCTT